CATAAAATTTGCCTTAGTATTTCTTCCAGAAGCACAGCCATGAGTGGGTAGCAGGTGTAAGAGCACAGTCTCAGAGAAAAATCTCCCCACCTAGGGTGGGCCTGTGGCCTTCACCTCCTCGGGGACATGGAGAGGGGTGGGAAGGGAGAGCCGTGGGATTCTAGAGCTCTTCCTACCTTCCTTCTCCAGCCGAGGTAGGACGCAAGAATCTTCCCTGCTCCATCCTGGTAGCCCAGGGCAGACATGGCCATTCTGAGGGGTAAAGCCCAGCTTTTGTTAGTGGGACCGCTTTTAGTCAGTCAACTAAAGGCACCTGCGTGAAGAGTCACGCGTGGGACTCCGGAGCGGATCCACGGATCATTAAGCTGTGCGGTTAGCAAGCAGCTTTTGCCACCTCATTTCCAGACTTGGGCCTGGTCGCTCGCACATATCGAGACCGAATTTCGAAACTCGGGGCTTTCCAGAATGGTTTCGATGGAAAAAAAAAAAAAAAAGAAAGAAAGAAAAGAAAAAGAAAAATAGACGTTGCCCAGGGCCTCCTTGGACCAGGTTCGGGCTACTCGGACCCCGCGGTGACAGCTAAGGACAGGAGAGCTGGGAAGACTGGAATGTCGGTCCTCGCCACGCCGAGGAGCCCTCCGGGAGGGCACAGAACAGCAGTACGAGCGCCCAGGGACTGGGGCAGACGGCAGGGAGCCCTGCGAGAGAAGGAGAAAACCCCAGGGAAGAAGAGGCGGGCCGGAGCTGCGCGGGGGAGGAGCTGCGGTCCGCCTCCAGGACCGCCCAGTGCCGCAGCCGCGCGGGGAGCCTGGGCGCTGGCGAGCGCTCTGCTGGGAAGAGCGCGCCGTCGGGCTTACTGGAAACGCGCCGGATCATGTTCCAGATCAATGAAATCTGGGTCCACACGTTTGCGTTATTGTTGCCAGCATTAATGCTCTTTTAATCTTCTAAACATTATCAGCATCGATCTCCCTCCATATACACATTTGTTTGAGAAAGTGACATAACCACACGGTGGAAAGCCTGGAATAAAAATAAATGGGCCGCTTCTCGCGTCCAGGGCGCCGGGAGGCCTGGGCCGCTTCTCGCGTCGGGTTCACGCCCCTCCGCCGTGTTCCGCCGCCTCGGCTGGCTCCCACCAACCTTCATGCGGGTTAGAAGGTGTTCTCCCGGCACCTGGGTCTTAACAAGGACGCGAAAGAGCTTTCCAATTATTAATCCGCCTTGCCAGCGGCAGAAAATATTTGTTCCACGCCGGCGTGGGTTGCATTCGGCCTCCCGGGCTGGGAGGAACTAAATTGACTGCAGAGGGGGCCTGGGCCGGGAGCTAGGCAGCGGGAGGGGAGGGGAGAGGAGGCGTCCGCCGCGAGGGAGGTCTCCTCCCAGCCTCGCCGCTTCCGAGACGCGCGGCTGCACGCGTTCCCTGAGGACCGCCGCGGCGCAGCCAGAGACAGGGACACACGTGGTGCCGTGGCAGGAGCCACGTTGAGCCCTGGCCTGGTCGTGCTGCGGGTGTCAGCTGGGCCAGGGCGACATCTTGGCGGGTTGGCTAAGGGCTTTCGGCCACCTTAACAGAATCGGCTGCTGGGAGCTGCAGCCTGGAGAGGTCCGTGAGTCTGTACGGGGCGGGGACTGCTCGCAGAAGGAGCGAGGCTCACTGGAGGCGGAAATGTAGGCAGGGCAAGTAGTCGGGGGTGCTCAGCTGTGGCTTCCGGGCGTTGGAAGAAACCGAGGCCTGGCTCTCCCTCCGCGAGGCGCACGTCAGTTCATGCCTGGGTTCACTCAGTGCCTCGGTGCAGGAGTTTGTGCTTGGTTCGGAGGCCGCCTGCGTTCAAAGCCGAACGCGTGCGTGCTCAAAATCGCAGGGCTCTGTCCTCTCTGCCTGCTGCCAGGTTAATAAAAACCGCCCCGTGGGAGCCGGCATCAGGACCTCAACGCCTAGCTGGCCTGACCCTGCGCACTTGCACCACTCGCCGTCCTGGCCACTCTTTCCGCGTGCGCCGCCGCGCATTTGGAGGTCATTAATCTTGAAATCTAACGCTGGGGCAGTCTGCGCTTCCCCGACGTCTGTCTGCTTCTTTCCTCCGGAAGTTCCTTCCCTGGCTGGGCTGTGCCTTGGTGACGCACCGCACTTGCTCCGATGGCGAGGTTTGCAGGCGCTGACCAAATTAGACATCTTCATGCTGGCTGGCTCAAACCCGTCTGTTGGGCCTTCCGGCAGGACCCGAGTGGGCCCAGCGTGAACGGAAACGGAAAGCTATAAGGGGACAGGTGAACAGAAAGAAAAGGGCCTGGTCTGGGAGCCCTGAGTGCGGGAAGCGGGGCGGGCCTGGCCGACTCGCGGGCTTGTGTAACCCCCAGGTCGCTATGGCCTGGGCCCTCCAAGGCGTCCCGGCGGGGATTCCGAGCGAGCGAGCGATCTCTTGGCGAAGAAGGCCCCCTCTTCTCCATTCGCTGCTGGCCCCGAGCGCTCCTGAGCACATAATACCTACTTAGCAGCCTCGCTTCTGTGCCCGTGTCTGAAGAGACTGATCTACTGACCCCAAACTGAAAGGCCTCCTCTGTAATAATAACCACTCAACACACTTGTAGTTGCTGATAGAATGGCCAGATAAAAAAGGCTAAAGCTCTCGTCCCTTTTCAACCTGCGGTAATAAAACAGACACATTTGAATGCTTGAGCCAGGCAGGGTCGGCAGCAGACATTTCGCACTCGCTAGGGGAGGCGGCGGTGTCCAGCCGAGACGGCTCCTGCGCTGTTCCGCCCAGAAGCAGGCAGCTCTGGCCATGCCCTGCCCGGGCCAGCCGCTGGTGCAGGTGGAGTTGAGGAGCCGGGGGGGGGGGGGGGGGGCGGGGGGGGCAATCACTCCAGCATTACTTTCCACATAGCTTCCAGCCCTGCTCAGGCAGGAGGCACAAGTGTTTTTACAACACCGTGTCCTTTGCGCGACAGGCGTGAGGGGGCGGCAGCGCTCCGAGCTCGGCCAGCGTGGAACAGCTGTCACCCTGCTGTGAACGGTACCCCCTGGACCAGCTGCCAAGTTCCTTCTGGCTCTCAGTGCCCAGGAGGCCGGCCGGAGAAGGCCCGGGGCCTGCCGGGGCTACACGACAAGGGGGTGGGACCACGTCCAGACCCGTCAGCCAGGCTTGGGTCCATCCCCCACCGCTGCTTTCCACGTACGGCTTTATCTTTGCCGGAAACCAAGAGAAAATGGTAGAAGATGAAGATTAAAATAAAGAAAGAAAAAGAATGTCGATTTCTAAATTCGCCCAACAGTGTCCAGAGTCCACCGATCTTGGTGGGGAGAAAGCTGGTTTTCGTTACTTTCTTAGGTCAACACTGAGGGACGACTATTGAGTGGCAGGTTGGGATCTAAGGAGGAGGCTGTCAGAGCGGAAACGCCCCCTCCCCGAACCCGGGGGAAAACGGCTGCCTGTCACATCCCCCAGCCCTGGCAGGCGTTGGTCGCGTGCACCCCACAAGCCGTGCGCAGCTGTGCCGAGGAAAGCCCAGGGGAGCGCGAGAGGGAGCCTGAGCTCTTAGCTCCGGAATTTGCCTTGCCCGGCGGGCTCGGAACCGCGCGCGTCTCATTATCCGCGCTATGCAAATCGACGCTACCACGAATCGGTTTGTCCTATAGCCCGCAGATCTCGAGAAATCCCCTCAGTCCAAGAGAAGCCGCCAACCTCGGCTGCCAGTAGAGTGTTGTGTGTCGTCCCCTTCAGGGGGCCTGCACACTGCCCCGCTGGGCCCCTGGCCCAGTCCACAAGCAGCGCAGTAGCCACACGCGCGGCGCGGGGTCTTTGCGCACAAAAGCGCGCAACTGCGTGCCAGTCTCAGCCTCTGCTGCGTCTTTCGCTCTCGCTCCTGCACCCGCCGCCCACACAGGAGATTTCTGTGCTCCTAGAACAATAGAGGGCTGTACCTCGCGGCTCGGCCACTAGAGGAGGCACAAAGAGCCGAGACCGCTCCAGAACAATGTAGCCGGCGCGTGGACCCGTCCCCTTCCGCGGTCCGCCCGCCTTCCCTGCCGCGGGGCTCAGCGCACAATCAGAGCCCGCTTAATGCAAAGGCGGAGCCTGTAGCCCGCGGCCGGGATGCATTAATTAACTAATCTGCATCTTAATTTCCCAGCACCTTTTTCTGCGAGCGCCTGGCCTCTCCAGGAAACCCGGCATACCTTAGCAGACGCTGGGAGCGCGGTTAGGGTGACCAGCCAGCGAGGCAGCGAGCTCTCCACTGCCTCTTCTCCCCAGTCTTTCTAAAGCGGTGAACTAGACAGTCCCAACCTTCGCCTTTACACCCTCCCCTTGATGTAGGCAGTGACGCCGGCGCTAGCCACAGCCCGCTCTCACCGTCAAGCCCGGTCAGAAACTCTCTGCGCCAAAGCCAAAGCCGGAGTTGGGTTCCGGACGCGGCGCTGTATCCCAGCCGCTAGCCCCCCAGGCGGGCAAGGCAGTGCCGCTCGCTAAAGACCAAAGAAGTTTGTCTGATGTGGTGTGGTGTGGTCGGGAGAGGGAGAGCTCTGTCTTCTCAAGAACAGAGCATCTCAGCTACCGCCACGTAGGGAGATTGGGCAGCCTGGAGAACGCCAATGTGCGGTCTAAAAAGAGTTCAAGTGCACAGGTTTTGAATCAGGGCAGTTCCTGGTTTCTGTGAGTGCTGGAAAGACAGGGGCTTCCAGCAGGCACCGCGCACCCCTCTCCCGCCTCCCGCTGCTCGAAGAGGTCAGAGGGAGGCCAAAGGTTGGAGAATGAGGGGGGGGGGGTTGTCGGTTCATGAAAGCTCAGGGACAGGGAGAGGGGAAGAGAAGAAAAGAGAGGACAGGAACCGGGAGAAGTGAAAAAGGAGAAAGAGAAATGGAAGAAGAAATAAAAGAACACAACGGAAGCGCACAGGGTAAAGCAGAAAGGCACCGGGAAAAGAGACGGGGCCAGTAGGTCTGCTCCGGCTCCTAGGAGCCCTCCCGGCAGCCCAGCCCCGCTGCCCCAAGGGCTCACCTGCCAGGCGCAAGGCGGACATGCGCTGGAACTCCGGCTCCTGCAGCCACTTCCACATCCTGCGGAAGGTCTCCCTGCCAGATTTGAGTTTACTCCACGGTTTTGGATTGCGGAGCAGGTCGGAGAGAGTCCCCTGAGACCGGCACAGCACTCTCTGCGCGAAGATGGCCTGCGGGATGCTATAGCGCTTCAGCTCGGCCGTGATGCGCTGCGCCACCTCTTTGGTGTTGATCTCCTCCAGCTGGCCCGAAGTAGCCACCTGCGAGCCCGACGACGAGGAGGGCGGGCGCTCGCGGCTGGGCGCCAGCACCGGCCCGTGCGACTGAGCGTGGCCCGGGTGGTGCAGGCCGTTGAGGTGCGACATCATGGCCGCGGGCGGGGTGCCCAGGCCTCGGGACAGGTGCTGCTCCCCGCGCGTCAGCATGGCAGTGTGGTGCGCGTCGAAGTTGGGGCTGAGCATTTTGTCGTGGCCTGGAGGGCCGTAGTTGGGCAGACTCTGCTGCGCGTTGTGGAGGCCGCCCAGCCCGTTGCCCAGCGGCGTGGCGGCCAGCGGGGACAGACTCTGGCTCATGCCCGGCATCTCCTTGTAGGGACTGTAGAGGTTGTTCATGGCCGGGAGCCCGCGCTCGTCGCGCATGAGGGTGAAGCTGCCGCTGACGTTGCCCGACAGGCGCTGGTGGTGGTGGTGGTGGTGGTGGTGCGGGTGGTGGTGCGGGTGCGGGTGGTGGAACTTGTCGGACACGGTGGAGATGGGCGGCAGCGGCTGCAGCGGCGTCAGCGTGGTATAGGTGTTGCTCATGCCCATGCCCGGCGGGGACGAGTCGCAGGACATGCTCATGGCGTGGTGCAGCGGGATGGAGAGCTCGGGCCGGTAGTCGCCGCCGTCCAGGATCGAGGCCATGCTGGTGACCATGGCCGAGCGCGACGCCGCCGCTGCCGCCGCAGCCGCCGCCGTGCCCAGCTCTTGGTGCGCCGTGGGCGGCGGCGGGCCCCGCAGCGAGCCCGCGGCGCCGCGGCCCGCGTGGTGGGGGCTGGGGCTGGCCAGCAGCTCCTGTTCATGCCCCGGGGCCCCGCCGCCGCCCCCGCCGCCCCCGCCGCCGCCCCCGCCGCTGCCGCCGCCGGCCGGCCCGTGCAAAGTGCCCAGACTTTCCATTGTCAGCTCCGGGTTCATGGCGCAGCCTTCTAGGTCTTTGGTGAGGCATCGATAGGCGGTGTAGGCAGCCTTCATTCAGTCCATCGGGGCCCGGGGGCGGCGGGGGCGGCGGGGGCGGCCGGCGGGCTGGCGAGGCGCGCGTGGCGGGGCTCGGCCGCGGGCGCGGAGTGCGGAGCTTGTGGAGCGGGCGTGCGCGCGGGGTGCGCCCCGGCTGCGGGCGGGCGCGCCCGGGTGGGGGCGGGGTGGGGGCGGCCGGGGCGTGCGTGCGGGAGAGGGGAGGGGGCGGGGAGGGAGGGAGGGATCACCGGGCCCCGCCGCTCGGGCCGGCGCGCTGCCTCGCCATGTCCGAGCCCGCTCCGGCGCCGACGTCTTCTGTTTGGGTGAGCGGGAGCTGTCCAGAAGGGCTCTGCCGCTCGCCGGGGCAGCCAACCTACCCTCCCGGGCCCGGGGCGGGGCTGTGCTGGACTGGCGCGGCGAGCAGCCATTCCGCAGCCGCAGCTGCCCCGGGGGGCGGGCCCTTTGCGCGTAGCTGCCAGTGGCCGCGAGGGGGCGGGGACGCGCGTTTCATGTTTGGCTGACGGCTCGGTGCCTTTTTTTCCTCCTCTGCTACTGGAATCAAACGTCAAGGAGAGGGAAAGAGGGAGGGAGGGAGAGAGGGAGGGGAGGGGCGGCGGGCAGAGGGCGGCTGGAGTGCGGGCGAGGCAGGGGGATTATGCGAACGACGCAGCCCCGCGGCCCCCGGGGCAGCTGCGGTCTGGGGAAAGGGGCAGTGCTCAGTCCCCTTCCTCTCACCTCAAAGCTCTTCTTCAGCCTGACCGGCCGGGAGGAGGAGACTCCGCCGCTCGCGGGTGCAGAAACAAACGCACGCCTCCCTGCAAGCCGCCTCCCGAGAGTCCCTCGCGGGGAGCCGGGAGTTCAGCCTTTTAAAATGCAAGCGCTAATGTATTCTAATGCACCGTAGGTTCCCGGGACCAGGGCGTGCATAATCTGTGGGGCGGCGAAGGGAACTCCAGTGGCGGCCCGACCGCGGGCGGCGCGGGCGCATAATGCATGCAAAGTTAACACAATAACATCACTTAATTATCCGGCGAGCCCATAAATCTCCCAGTTATGAGGCTTCAGAAGGGCCCCGTTAGATTGCAAAAATAAAATTAGAATTTCGGGAGCTACAATTTCAAGGGGACCAAGTATTTACTTCATTAGCCATTTGGAAAGCAGAGGGGCGTGTAGGAGCCGGAGGGGTGGGGGTGAGCAGGGTGGCCCACGTCCATGGCCAGCAAACTTCAGCGGGGGGCAGAGAGCAAGCAAACCAAATAGGACACTAGTCCGGTATCCTTCCCCTAACAGACACCGCGGGCGCTCACACACAGGCTCAGGATAACCCCCCATCCAAACACATGCTCTCACATGCACACACAGGCGCGCGCGCACACACACATGCAGGCATATGCTCACACACCCACATGTACGCGCACGGAGGCACACACACTGTTTCTCTCGAATCCCGGGAGAGGAACGCCTGGGGTTTCTGCGGTGGGTGGAGGACCCTGGAGCCCCCGCTGACATCTGCGTATTTAAACCTCGTTTCTCCAACATCAGAGCCCCACCAGCTGGATAGCGCTCCCAAGCCTTAGCGTTTACAAGTGCCCCTTGGTCTTGCTATAATTTCCGTCGTTTGGCCAACTCAGGTTGGGCTGGGGGCCGAGAGGACATGGAATTTTCCGAGGCCCGTGTCAGGTGCAGGGGAAGTGGAAGACAGCCAGAGAGGCCAACTCCCCGCATTGAAAGCCTAGAAAGTAGCCGATTTTTCCAAAGCAGGTTGCTCTCTGTTTGCCTCCGAAGATTCAAGCTGGCTGAGGTTGCGCAGATGTTGCTTTTGTTTAAAGAGACAGTAATTAAGGACAGGGTGGACATAAGTTTGAGAAGCGTGACCTATTTTCTTTTGATCAGCTGTCAAAAGAAGAGCAGGGGGTCTCCTTAAGACAGCCCCCTCCAACCACTTCCAGCTGTTAGAGAAAACTTGATAAGAAAACAAGGACCCCGCCTGGAATACTGTATGAGCCTTCGTGGCACTGGAGCCAAGGTTTAATTCATTTGGAAAGCAGTTCTTAGTCTCAGTGACCTTTTCCGCTGCCCTCTTCTCTCTTCAAGATACGGAAAGGGGAAATCTCCCACACCATTCTGTCACACGAATGGACAGTGACCTTATTCACAGATCAGCCTTAAGGAGCCCCGGCCAATATGTTGCCAATTAGTCTTTCAAAACGGTGTCGTCTTGGTGATATCAAAGCCTGGATAAGAAAGCAGCAGATCCCCTTGCTTAGGCAGACATACTTTTCTAGCTGCTCCCATCTTGAGTGCCATAACAGGGGACAGGTGAAATAACCCCCTTGTCTTCTGTTTCTTGGGTTCTCCTCTCCCCTGAGCCACCTCCTGCTGAATCCTTCCCACTCCCTGCTTTATGTATGGCAGCTGGACACTTGGGATGGTGTGCACCAGTTAATGTTGGAAACGCACAGCGAGTGCAACAAAAGTCCACACACATGCAGCCTGCTTTTGGTCCACAAGTGCTCAGGGACTGAGATGCCGCAGGAGAGGGGCAGGGCTGGGAAGGAGTTGGTCTGTTGTACTCCAGCACTGAAGGCAGCCTCTGTTGCCCAAGCTTCAGCCTCAAGGAATAGCTGGTGACCCCCACCCCCCAGGTTGGCGCCGTCTCCGTACTGAAAGCTAAGTACATAAATTGCCATTTAAATAATTTTTCAAAATGATAAACTCATTTACCAGGCCACCAAGATAAATCTGCTCCTGGGAATTGCATTGCGATGTGCCTGGGAGCAGAAAGGTGAGCTCCATTTTCTCGCAGCCTTGCTCCCTTCCTTCCTCCCTCCCCCTCTCTCGATCAATATCAGCGATCTCAGGGAAATCATGAAGCCGTATTGGCTTCTTTGTATATAATTTCATTGGACTAGATTAAGGCAGATTTTTCCACGTTATTTTTCTGACTTTGGTTTGAGGGTTTATGTTTCATCCCCAAAACCCATTTAAAAAGGGAAATGAATGTGTTGTTTGGTCAGTACCCTAATTTTTTTCTTTCTTTTTACTTTTTTTTTTTAAAACTGAATACAGGTTGGATGCTCTTTTCTCTCTATTTCTAAAAAGGAAAAAATACTTATTTTCTACCTCAAGTTAATTTTGACTATCAATACTAATGAAAATTTCAAATATGTTTAGAAATCTCTGCTGTTTCTTTATAACTATTTTTAAAAATTAAAAAAAAGAGTTGCTTTTTAAATGCTACTTGCTTAGCACCCGTACTCAACTCACAGAAGTTCTGCGACTCAGAATTTTGTTTTTTGTTTGGAAGTTACACTTCCATCCTCCCTCTCCCTTCCCCTAGCAGTTGACTTACAATTAGACCCTCTAGAAAGGTGGTATCCTAAATGCCAGTTCCTCTCTTAGAGCCTGTCCAAGCAGTTGTGCCAAGAACATAGCCAGACCAGGATGTCCATTTCTTAGCATGTCACACCCACAGGTAGATTTTTCTTCAAGATCACAAACTTCAAAGAGTCAAAAGACGCCTGTAAATAAAATACAACTTCGGCAACAAACACAGGCTATTGCTCTGTAAGAGAAAAAAAATTCAAAACTCCAGTTAGCAACTGCAGGAAAAGACTGGAAATATTTACTATCAGGTTTTCACACATGTTTTTCACATGAAAATATTTTTAGGCTGGGGGGGGGAGAGAGAGAGAGAGAGAGAGAGAGAGAGAGAATTCAGTTAAAACCGAGACTCCATAAATTATTGACAAAAAAATAAACAGACCCCAAGTGAACCCAATCTGGATAAGGTGCCAACAGCTTTGTTTTTACTAAACAACAGTAATCACAGCCCAAATTGGGGGGCAGTATGGGGGGGATGCTTCTTATTTCTACCATAATGCTCAGAATCCCTCCAGATTTTGTGTTGAGCAGAACACATTTGCGCTACCACTAGGTTTATCAGAGCAATACAAAAAGACATAATGGTGGGTTGATTTGGACTATTTTATTTTTGCCCTTCCCCAAACCATCTGGCGTGTGAGTGTGGGGGTATTGATCAGGATCTGTGAGCTGCACACCCCATGCCAATCCATAGCGTTTCTGGCAATCAGCGCCTATGAATTGCAGCTGTCTGTGTAGCTCCCCGAACAGAAATCTTCAAAAAAAGTGCCCCCTTGTCAAACACCTCGTGGTTCGGGGGTAAGTCAATACCGTTTCTTTGTCGTTCTGCTGCGGAGGATCATGCAGGAGAAAGTTTTTGTTGTCTGTTGTGGCTGCCGCCGCGCCTTTTCTTCTTCTTTTTTTGTAAAGGAAAGAGAGCAATTTTCTAGCCATTGAATGGTAATGGTTTTCCAGAAAGGCCTCAAGCATTTGTATGAATCGGACGACAAATGCTGTTTCCATCTTGTGGGGGAATTTTGAGAGGAGAGGGAACCGCTCGTGTTGTTATCCACAAATAAGAGTCGTGGTAACAGAGGCTTCCTTCTGAGGGCGTGGAGTTTCCCCCCCTTTTCTCCCGAGCCTCTGGCAATGCAGACCCCGCACGACTCTGTGCTCCGTGAAGATGGACGCGGGGTGTTTGCGGCGGCAAGAGCCTTAGGAGTTGTGGCTCTGTTTGATATCTCCATTAGCTTCAATTTTCTTCCGTCTGGAAGCTGGGCTGGCGGAGCGCTGGCAGCAGGAAAGTAAGCCCGAAGCCCAGCGCCCCTGACCGCCTCCGGCCTCGCAGCCCGGAAATTCCCTGACGCTCCGCAGGTTCCCCGGTGCACCTAGCAAAGTTGTGTTTCCCCCTTTACATTTTGTTTGGTTTTCTGAGTACTCAGAGCGAGGGGACCCTAGTCAGTCTCCCTCCTCCGCCCCGTCGGTCGGTCTTAGGGAAATCCGCAACGCCAGGCTGGCGGATTCGCGGGGGAGTCTGCCCCTAACTTTGAGCTTGACAGAAGACACGCCGTTCGGGGGCCCGGAGAGAGGGAGAGAGCTGGGGTCTGTGGGTCTTCCCACAGCCGGGGGCGAGGGACATGAAGCTACAGGAGCCCTGCCCGCCGCGCGAAGGCTCCTCCGGAGCCCCAAGCCCAGCGCCTTATGAGTTGGGCTTAGGAGAGCAAAACCCACAATTTCCGCAGTAGTTAGGACGCAGGGAGTGGGTAGGATCGAAAGACCGAGAGGAGGAGGAGACCCCCATCCCACAGAACGTTTGCGCCCGTGTCAGGGGCGGGGGTGTGGACGGGCAGCCGCGGCCCGACCCCGAGCGAAGCTGCTGGTGCGCACACCTGCCTGGTTTTGTAAGCGGGACAGGATCTGGGTCGGCCGTCCGTCTCCACCCCCACCCTCAACCCCCTACAAGGAGGGGACTGTTTGGGTTCCATGTCCCCTAAAACACACACCCGCACGCGCTTCACTTCTGCCCCTTCCCTGACCCGAGCCCTCCCCCCTACCC